AATACACACTTTATTGTATAAGTATCAAAAGATGAAATATACAAAGGACCAAAAACAATATTTAGAATGAAGTAAGTGTTCAATAAATGGCAATTGTTATTTTCACATTTCTAGAAAGAAGAAATAACTGCCTGTCTCTACTGACAATTTCTTATCTTTTTCCATCACTAGTAGACAGACATATCCTAAGATGATGATCATTATGTAAATTAAATTCTCAGTCTTCAAAGGTAAATGACTATAGGAACTTTACTCCCTCAACTTAGTATAATAATTAAATATAATTTTTAAACACTTTGACAGTTACAGTGGAAGGATAATGGAGCCATCCTCACCATCAATCACCATCAAAAAATGATAGATGATTAATTGACAGGTTGTAGTTTTATACAATCTTTAATTAAAATAACACCTAACATTGTAATTGAAATTGTTTTGTACAGCATTGTATTCTTTGTCCCTTGAAGAAAATAGAATTTATGTAATTATCTTCAGGATGGGTAAGGAAACCAAAGTTCAGACACACAAAAGCCTTTGGAATCTGAACCCTGGCCTTTTTTTCTACATTGTAAAATTTTGATTAAATGAAATAATGAATTTGATTAAAACAAATAGAACCTAAAACTTCCCATTTCTGGCTTACACCAAAGCATTTAGTTCCACCACTGAAAACTTCAGAAAGTTGAGCTCTTCCCAAACTATCTTCACCTTGCTTTGTATTCCAAATTAAGTTTCTGCCTTTCTTCTAGGCCTATGTAATGAGATTGGGGTTGGTAGAAACCTGGCCATCAAGGCATTCTCTGGAGGCCTTGGAGGAGCGGGTTATCCAGGATCAGGTCCCCAGCAGGAATCAGCTAAAAACTTTGTAAACAGAAAGTACGTCTAACCCATTAAAATTTAGGCTGTAAATTCAGAATCAGATATTAGAAGACTATGGATCACAAGGGCTCTTCTCCCTAGTGGCCATGATCTAAGTGGAATTAGTGGACCCTACAATTTTATAATGCTTGTACCCTGCTATGCTCCTTTCAGCTTCGTGGGAGATGCAGCTTCCTACATATTCGTTGTTCTTTCAGTATTCAGGTTGATCCACTATCTCCTTCTCCAGGGTTACAGTCACCAGTAACTATTGGGCATTAAAGCATTTCTGTAGGCAGTTTGCAAGTCTATATTACGTCGTTGTGTTATTGAACTTCTGCAAGTCTACTGTTTCTATAGAATTCCTGGAAAATAGAGAATATCTATGTCCCCTTGAGCTAAAAGTGTCCTTATTTCATTTATGGAAAGAATCTAGATTATTTCTGGATGGGTTTCATCAGCTCTGTATTTCAGATGATAATATACAATCTTAGGGGAATATATTTACATATAGATTTTTAATAAAAATCTCAGTACCTTTCCATCAGTAGGCATTCTGAATCATTCTCAATATTGTTCCTATTGATAAATTCAACTTCAAAAGACTATTATGAAGCCAACATAAAGATATAAAAGCTCAGCATTGATACATGTCTGCCAACTTAAATTTGTCTTAGTTTTTAAAAATTCAAGTTTCAAAAGCATTTTTTTCTCTTCTATTATGTATAGAGGGTGGACAGTAGAAACTTTCCTGAATTACTGACAGAATTGACTAATTGAGGATCTTCTGATTTAACTTCCCTCACTATGCCCCAGGAGAGAACCAGGCGCTCTTGCTTGCTGTCTCTCTTCCTGTGTCTGAGACAGGGTGCAAGTGAAAAAGAAAAGGCCATTAGAGTAAAAGAGCCAGGTACCATCACACTGCTGCCTCTGTACATCCCTCACTCGGCTGATGTAAGTGTAGAATCTGCCTTGAAGGTTTAGTGGGAAAGACATTTTTCAACTTCTGCATTAAGGGAACTCTAAGTAACACTCTTAGGTAACAGCTGTGGGCTGAATCGCACCCCACCACCCCAAATTCCTATGTTGAAGACCTAACCCCCAGAGTTTCAAAATGCGACTATATTTGGAGAGAGGATCTTTAAAGAAGAAATTAAGTTGAAGTGAGGTTGTAAGTGTTGACCCTAATCCAGTAAGACCAGTGTCCTTATAAGAAGAAAAGGAGAAGACACAGGGAGAAGGTGGCCATCAACAAGCCAAGCAGATAGGCTTCGGGAGAAACCAGCCCCTGCTGACACTGACCTTGGACTTCTAGACTCCATGAGTATGAGAAAAAATTTTTGCCTAAGCCCCCCAGTGTGTGGTACTTTTTTAAGCAGCCCTAGAAAACTAATACAGCAAAACTAAACACATGCACATGCACACACACATTTAGATTACATTGAGAGTCTATAAGCATTGTTCCTAGAAATAGGAAGCCACTGCCACTGATGGTATTATTGCTCCTGGCCTCTCTCCCACCAAAAGCTGAAAGATAATATTCTCTATAATCTTTGGCTGAAGGGCTGTGGAAGGGACAAAGATTAAAATGCCAGCTCTTACCACGATGATCTCTAGGCGCGATGACAAACTCTTTGATTTCCTGTCTTCTCCCCTGCATCCCTCCCGAGATGACAGAGGACCTGCCCTTATGGGAGCTATCCACTCTTGTGATTGTGTGAGGATTCTGAGTGTGCATGTGCGTGTGTGGCATCTAACAGTTCGGGACACACAGTAAGCATCATGTGTTTGCCTTATTGTTCTTTCCATCACCATAGGCCTACTGAAAGAATTAAATAAGACAAAATATGTAAAGCACAGTGCTTGAGGTTAAGAATATGAGTTTTGGAGCCAGACAGATCGGGATTACAAGTCTGGCTCTTTCCCGTTCCTCTTCCCTCTCTCGTTCCCTCCCCACAATGTCTGCTCCTCTCACTCTCAGTCTTTCCATCTCAGAATGGCAATTCTATTCTTCCTGCTTCTCAAGCTAAATGTCTTGGTGTCATCCTTGATTATTCTTTTTCTTACCAAGCCTCACAAACAACCTTCCATCAAATCCTGCTGATTATATCTTAAAAATATATCCAGAAACTAAATAATTTTCACATCACCTCCCCTGCTGCTACCATCATGGTGTAAACCCATCATTTTAAAAAACTATTTTTGAACACTTTGACATATGTCAGTAGTTCCAATGGGTATTTTTGAGTAATACTTGGATGTCAATGTATGAAAGTTTTATGGTTCAACAAAATATTTAGATCTCTTTATCCGAGGAACTATCTTTTGTTGTTGTTATTATTTATAATATATATATACACACAGAATATATAATATATGTATATACAGGAAATTTCTGTATACAAATATACATATACAAATAGCAAGGATAATAGAATCCATATCCTGGACATTTAATATATGCAAGAAATATATTCATCATTATTTGAAATAAAATTCCTAGGAAATAATAATTTTATAATGAGTTCATTTAATAGAAAGCTTTGTTTTTATTTTTGGAAACTTCCAACTATTTATTTACTAATTTGAGGATAAGCCAACAAACAAGGGGCAATGTGGGTTTGATTTAAGACTACTTCCCCTAAATGTTTCTACTTACCCCTAAATGTGCAAAATTGATTACAAAATAGTTTATTAAGACGTAAGATTTCATAGGCTTTGTGTAATAATGAATTTGGCTGGCCTTGTCCCTGGTTGATAGGAGGTGACTCCTAAACCCTTGGGATTTCCTGATTAATAAGAGTTTCTTTGTTAATTATGGTAGGTCCATAGATAGTTTATGTTAACAAGATGACTCAGGATGAGAGCCGACCATGCCAGCAAGACCAGTCACGTGATTAGAGGGTTGAAGCTTTGAGCCACATGATGCTAGCCCAGTCTCCTAGGAGGGGAGGAAGGTTAGAGACTGAGCTTTACCTTGGAGCCAAAGCATCAATCAATCATGCCTACATAATGGAGCCCCACTGAAATCTCTGGACACTGAAGCAAAGGTGAGCTTCCTTGGTTGGTAATTCTCTGCATATCATCACCCATCCCTGTGTCAGGTGGATGATGTGTGCTGACTCCATGGGAGAGGACAATGTAAGCTTAATGTTTGAGACCCTCTCAGACTTCATCCTATACAGCTTTCTCTTCAACTGGTTGTGAGTTTTATCCTTTTGTTACAATAAACTGTAATAATAAGTATAATATTTTCCTCAGTTCCATTAGTCATTTTAGTGAATTATTGAATCTGAGGATTATGGTGGTGTAAACTCCTAAATCTGTAGCCAGCTAGTCAGAAGTGAGGGTAGTTCTGGGGCCCCTGAACCTGTGGCTGATATCTGAAGGGAGAGCAGTCTTGCGGAGGACTGTGCCCTTAGCCTGTGAAATGTGGCCCAACTCTGGGCAATTGGTGTCAAAAGTCCTTGTACCTTTCTTTCCCTACCTCTATCCAAATATTTAAACCTCTTTTAGTAAAAGTAACTAACTCCGGGCTAAATATTGATGTTTATTAACATAAGAAGGCACTCCTCCTCTGTTAAAAGGGGATGGTCCTTTAACAGTGACAAATTCATCCACATGATTTATTTTGCAAGATAACTGGATTATCATAGTCCCCTTGAGAAGATAGAAAATAAGAGAGAGCCAGTCATATCTCAAGGGCTTTGATTTGAATCTTCAAATGAATATAAAACAAAAATTCTGTTAAGAGGAAACTACAACTCGATCATTTCCATAAGAGAATAAAAAAATAGACTGCCATGGTTCCATCGAGAAAGTACAAAATGTATAAGATCTTTGTGTTTATAAAATATCTTTCAGTTTAGTTCTAAATAAATTTTAAATTTAAAGACATTAACATGAAGAAACCACTCATGGCCATTCCTAAACAATGGTAAGAATAAACCTGAACACACAGTTCTTTTTATATGGAAGATGCTCTTGCATATTTGATTAAATGTAGCTTTGAAAGACATAACCAAAGAATTATATGCACTCTTAATATTTTAATACTATTACAACTACAACAACAACAACAAAAATCCCACTCTTCTTCATTCAATTGTATATTGAATCATACCTTAAAAGAAAGGGTTGTATTTCAAGTGGCTTTCATCTTGTTATTTATGTGGTAATGTCAGTGATGTTTAAATGTTACCATTTTATCTACATGAGTTAATTAGGCAAATTAATGAGTATTCAGTCTCTTTTACTCTTGGAAGCAGGTCTAGATTACAGGTCCCAAGTAATGGAACCATGACATAGAGAACCCAGATGAATCCTTGAGATGTCTCAGTTCCAGATGGAATTATGTTGAAACAGGCTCAGTTCAACAGCCAAAGATAATTTTAAAAATATTACATTTAGTATGGTTGATTAAGAAAGATCCAATTCAAAGGCAGGCTAGCACTTTTCACACAGAAAGAGTCTCAGAGATTTTTACATGTGAAAACCCCAAAGGGCCTACAGCACCCAACCTCTCTGTCTTCCTTCCGTTCTTCGTCCTCCCCATAACCCTCTTCTTGATCCCTTCATTATGAAGGCCATCTTGACCTCTGAGCCTCTCAAGGAAAACCCTTCCACTTCAAGAAAGGAGATGAGTAAAAGATGGAAAATTATATTTGAGTTTACAGGGTGCTCTTTTTCAGACTGTTGTCGTAGACGTAAACATGAATGAATCACAGTGATGTTTTTTTCTTTATCTTATACTTGGTGGAGGTCAGAGTAAGAGGGTCCAGTCTCTCTGACGTACCAGTCCTTACTGCAAAGTCTATAGGAAGATAACCAATGTTAATAGTAAATAAATCACATTATCTACAAGAGGAACACTTAGCTGAACCAACAGATTGCTGATCAAATGATGAGTGCACTTTTAAGAACTATATATTTAAGAACGTTTTTATGATACACTCCACTCACATTGTTTCCATCACTGACAGGGGTTCCAGCTTAAAGAAGGCCACTTTATTAGGCATGCTACTGACATAATTTCTGCATAAATGTTGAAATAAGCACCTAGATGGCCAGCTGACTGGCTTGCCTGCTGCTTTTTTTTGCTTAATTAGTTTATGGAATGAAGCTATTAAATGAGAACATTTTGAAGAGAACAATGTCCTTCAGTGTCAAAGTAAATGCCTCAGCTTTGCCTTTTTTTAAATAAATACCTCAGCATTTATTACAGCAGTGGCGATGCATGGCCTATTTCAAAATAGTTTCCTATTGTCATTCCTCCTTTAAATAGACTAGATGGAACTGGTATTGAACAAATGGAATGCTAGCTAGTTGACTCAATTTTCATTGTTTTTTTATCCCACCCTAGTAAGCCACCTCCTCACCCACTGTCAGTACATTTTGTATTTTTCTGCCAGGAGGCAGGAAATATTATTGCTTTACATTTCTGCTTGTTCCCCATTGAATTATTATTTTAACAAAACTTAACCAGATATCAACTCAATGAAGATTTTAGTTGGAAGGCTTTTGTTTTATCTTCACTAACATTAGCCTTTTTGGTAATTATATGGTTCATTACAAAGAAGACAGGCTTTGTGTGATTGCTGCCTACTTTTTGTTGTTTTTGTTTATTTTTTTCTTATATTCAGTGCTCTTAAAGGGAATTTCATTATCCTGGTGTTTCTGTTACCTGGTGAATTAGCATGTAGTTTGTTTATTAAGGATTGCTTGTATCTTCTGTAAATGCAGTCATTAGAATGTATTCTTTGCTACTTAATTGGGTAGAAGTTATATTCCTGGTTATTTTACAGTCTAAAGATTACATTTTAATATAACTTGTAACACTGTTTTTCTGTTTTGTCCTTTTTTTAGGGAGTGAAATTACCCAATGTAAGCTATTCTACTGTGAGGAAAAAGCTGTTCAAGAACTCTGAGGCAGCTGGTAAATGAGCTTGTGAGATTTCAGGGGAATCAAAAATATCATTGTCATATATAGGGTTGAATAACAGAAACATCCTCAAGTTCTAGATTCTGGGACCGGATTGCTCAGAATACAGAGAAAACCCATTTAATCTGATATTCACAAAACCAGAGCAGAACTTTTGATGCTGTATGGTGTATAGATAATTGGTGTTTGAAAGAATAACTCTGAAGTAATTTGAATGGTTCAGGAAATAGCAAAGAAAGACTGATTTTTTATGAACTTTTAAGGATTATATTTTAATATAACCAAATTATGTAAGTAATATATTATGTTTACATATACACATACAATATAATATATTTTATATACTAGTTCTTAAATAATGAATTAACTGTATATATCAGTCACTTGGGACAAATTAGTTTGCCCTGATGGACATATCTGTAATCTTAAGGAATTTAGAATCAATCTATGTTCTACTGAATTTTACCCTATAGCAGATGGCATCTACAGTGAGTTCCAGAGCATTATACACTCACCCTAGGATCGCTGTAGCAGTTAATCATACTATCACTATGAATTTCAGGTTGTGATGAATATGAACTGGACTCATTAAAATAGTAGAGGACTCATTGATTTTGCATTGATTGCTTCTTAGAATAGAAATTTCCATTAGCTACAATTTATGTCCACATGCACTGTTTTCTTTACTCTTATCACACATGATCAATCTCTGGTCCTTTTTGATGACTAACTAGTATTATGAGCATGGGTTTCATTAACTCATACTGCAGTCACAAGCAGCTGAGATCAGCTAGCTGTACAGGAGAGACTGGCATTGTCAGGCCTCCCTGAATGCTGTTTTTGGCATGTTTGTAGGTTTCTTCTTTTGACTAGTTTCCATTTTGGAGTGACAAGATGGGCTCCAAGTTTGTATATATTTGTGTGTGGTATGTATGCATGTGTATGGCCATATGGATGTGTATTTTTTCAGGGGGGATCTCAATATGTTAAACAGCTCTTTTAAAAATATTCATTTTATTATGTAAAACTACAAAATATTATGTAGTTTTAAAACACAAGCACATTTAAAAAATAAATGATAAATAGTGTGCGACTGCAGTAAAAAGTGGCTTCCTTATGGGGAGCTGACATGTTAATGAGACCTAGGCAGCAGAAAGTTAATTATTCATTTAACAGATTTGCTTGAGTGGCAAATAATCATTTTTGTAGTGATGCAATTAGATAAATACCAAAAGGAACGATTACCTATGAAACTGAACTTGATTGATTTTTTTTGAAAAAACACCCATCTTTATCAGAAAAGAGTAATATCGTGCAGTTTTCTTTATACTGAAAACCATGAAAACTAAAAGTAATAGGTTATTATGTGATGGGCCTGGACTAAAAGTAATAGGACTGTTATGTGATGGGCCTAATGAACAGGCAATCAGTAAGTGCTTGTTGAATGAATGAGCACGCTGCCACCACCCGCTTGTTCAGCTGTTAATAGTGTCATCTGAAAGGTGCCAAACTTGCAAGCCCTCCATTTCATTATGTTTTTCTCTAAGGGAGGTAGTCCTTACTGTGGCTAATTTAGTTAGTCTATCATTTTACTCCCTTATAATTTGGAGATCTGTATTAATTTGGTCAGGAAGTGAAGTAAGTCCATTTAGCTTGAGCCAAAAGAAAAGAATTCTTGGTCAATTTGGATTATACCTTTTGTCATCTGAGGGGAGCTCAGGAACTCTGCCTTCCTATAGAACCTCATTCTGCCCTTTAGCCACCCCTAAGAATAGTCCAAGAGACTGTTTCAGGCAGAGCTTTCCAAGAGGTTGAGGACAGCTCCTGCTCCCACAACCCAGGCTTACATGCAGACCCCCTGTTGAGGAGGATGGTGTCACGGAGAAAATGGAGAAGCATGCTTTGGTTAGAAGCTAGCAAGGCTCACCTGTCATAGTTAAAAGACTGTCCTCACAGTCCAGTCCAAGTTTATTAGGTTTGGGGCCCAAATTCTAGGTGTAAACTAGATGTTATTTCAATATGGAAATGTCACAGGAAGGCAGGATTACTGCTCCAAGTCAGGATTTCAATATTCTTGAGCCCCTTAGTCAAATAGCATTCTAATTGCACCTTAATTTCACCATCATTCCCTCTAAATGACAAATCAAGGGAAATATTAATTACTTGGCAAATGCTTCATGCTGCCTTAAATACAAAATAGCACCTATTTCTTACCATGTCTAACAATAAGAGCTAATATTCATGTAGTACTATGTATCAAGCACCATGATAAACATTTTACATGCAACACTGTATTTAATTTTCAGAACCCTATACCCATTATTACTTCTATTTTCTACTCTAGCCCCAAATCTAGGGCTATCCTTTTATACTCACTTTTTCCTCACCTCACCTCACATGCAATTCAGTGAAATGTCCTGGAGATTTTATCTTCGATAGATTGTTTGCCTTCAGTCTCTTTGCTTCCCCTTTTTAGACCATCACAATCTTATGCTCACATTATAGGAACAGACTTCTCATTGGGTCTCCTCACTTCAGTGCTTGCTTCACTCCAGTCCAGTCTCCACCAGCAGCAAAATGGTCTTAAAATGCAAATGGAATCGTGTTAATACTTTGCTTAAGATCCTCCTGTGGCTACCCATAACAATGAAAAAAAAACCCATACTTCACATCAGAGCCTTCAACTCCTGCCTTCTTTGTCCCCCATTAAGGTCTCCAGTTCCCCTTAGTTTGCATGTAGCCGTCTTCTTGTGACACGTGGCATCTTCCAGTTCTCTGAATGTGCCAGGCACATTCACACCTCAAGGTCTCAGCATAAGAGCTTCCCCCTGAAGGGGACATATTCTTCTCCCCACTCGTCATGTGGGTGATTCCCTTTATTCTTTCAAGCCACAGTCTTAAATATTACCTACCAGAGACCGGCTCTGACCAAAATACCTAGAGTAAGTTTCTCCATCATCATTCTTGATCTTAGTCCCCAATTTATTCCTTTCTTAGCAGAAATTGCCATGTCAGGTCATTTTATTCATATACTTATTTGTCTTTTGAGGGAAGTGAACTGTGTCTTCTCCTAAAATATGTGTCCCAGAAGAGTGGGTAGTCACTCTCTTCTTCACCATTGTTCCCTCAGCAAAACCTAGTAGAGGGTAAAAGGTATTCAATAAATAATAAATAATAATAAATAATGATTGGATGAAGGTGAGTCATTCCCAGACTTGGAAATTTTATGGATGTAATATTTAAAACAGGAATTTGTGAGGATTAATATATTATTGAATCTAGTTTACTCCAAATAGCAACATAACATTACAAACTATATGTAACATATATAGCTATATATATAACTCTCATCACATATATATATATACATCTGTATGGATATACACTTATGCATATACTATATTCTTATTATGCATGATAGCTATGTTCTACATAGTTGCTGGGAACACTAAATTAGCAAATACTGAACTATTGTGCCTAGGGGCACTACAAGGTCAGGCTCCTGAGAGCCCTCTGGTCACAACATTCTTAATCAATCAATCATACAGAACCTTGTTTTATGTGTGTTTATGTTTAAGGATGCCTTATTTAATATATGTTATTGGTTTACTAACATTGAATTCACAGCCACCAGCACTACATAACTCATGCCTGAGCAAAGCTTATCTAACACACATATATTATCCCTAAGGCATATCATAGCCCTCTTGTGCTTAGGAACACTGGACGGTACTTCCACACTACACTTGGAGCAGTTTTAAACAGCAAATAATTAAGAAAAAAACACAAAAATGCAATGAAGGTGGCATTGAATGGGCTATGAAAAGGACACTTCTTTACAGTATGAAACAAGAGGGCAGAGAACATTGCCTTGTTCATCTCAGTGATAATGTGGTCATTGGATGATTCAAATTTTTCTTTGCCCTGCACATGTCTATGTACCTTAGCAAGTAGGTGAATCCATAAATTTGGAATCCATGAATGATGAAGGTAGACCACCTGCGAGTGGGGGTAGGGAAGCTACTGGCATCATCAGTTTTCAAAATAAAGGAAAGTCTGGAAAATTAAATGAATTTATGTTCATGTAAAGCTCATCACACTTTCCTTATTATTCTCACTGACCTTGAGCCCATAAAGTCTTCATCCTGCAAAGACGAGGAGGCACTGCTTTGGATGAGGCTGACTAGAAACTCATTCTTCCACCAGATTTACCCAAATGCCACAAAGACTTATTTTAGTAATGTCCATGGTAAATATTGATAAGTAGATCATGATTTTAAGAGGTAATCATATTCTGAAAAGCTAAAACGATGCTGACCTGGAGTCCTAAACTTCAGCATCTTCTTCCATCATACCTGTCCTTGCCTTTGATGTAAAAATGATCCCATTACTTGACTGAGTGAATACACCAAACAGAGATCTTTTTTCCTATGTCTTAATCATAGTGTAGGCTTTTCTTTTTACAATATTTTTCTTACTAAAAATGTAATATATGTTCACTGCAGAGAATGTCGACAGTATAAGGTAAGCAAATAGATAATCCATCAGCCAGAGTGGGGTGCCAGAGCACTGAGAGGAGGTATCAGTCTGAACCACCATTTTCAGATGGATTTCTGGAAAAAGTCAGTGTCATGTTTTAGAGGAAAATGGCCTCTAGTTTTTCCTTGGAGCTAGAGCTCTGACATTCAGTTTGTTCCTTCAGCTTGTATTTGTTTTTAGTTTACTTCTTCAAGGTGATGGTTCTGGAGACACAGCTTATGTGCACACCTCTGAATAGCTGAACAGAAGACTAGCCTTAGGCAGTTGAGATAAGTACAGTGGACCCTAGAACAACATGGGTTTGAGCTTCAGGGGTTCACTTAGTCACAGATTTTTTTCAATAAATATATTGGAAATTTTTTTGGAGATTTGCAACAATTTGAAAAGCATTTTCTTTTCTGCAGGTTTTTTATTGCAAGAATACGGTAGATAATACATGTAACATATACAATATGTGTTAATCAATTATTTACATTATCAGTAAAGCTTCCAATTAACAAAGGACACTAGTAATTAGGTTTTGGGGGAGTCAAAATATATATGCAGATTTTTGACTGTGTGGGGGGAGTGGTAACTCTAATCCCTGTGTTGCACAGGGGTCCACTATAACCTGTTCTTAGAAGGCAGGGCCAAACACCAACAAGCTGCCAATAGAAGATTTCAAGTAAAGTGAGTCAAATATTAATGCAATTCCTGATCCAGATGATTGAATGCTTTCTGATCTCAGAATACAAAATTCATATAGAGAAGGCATGTAATACTCATATAAGTTAAGGTATTTTTCATATGTCTAACTAGATCTGTTCTAACATAGTTTGAGAAAATATGAGTAAGGCAAGTGTGCAATTTTATATTCTATTAGGCTGTCCCTTCAGTTTCTCCAGTGACAATTTTACAGAAGTCAATTACTGATCCAGAATTAAGTTCTTGAGTAATTTGGTGATATTAGCTTCAGGTAGGTCTCATTTGGTATGACTAATAAGGGTGTACACACTTCATTGCATTCTTGAAATCTGCTAGAGATATTGATCACACATCAGGAATACATTTAAACTAATTCATGGAATTTTTGTTGAATTAGAGGCTTAGCAGTGTACATGGTAAAAAATCAGAAATGATTGATTAGCAAGAATCCCATTTAAGTAGAGAGTCTCCACTAAAAGCCTTTCTGTTATATCGTGTGGACATGGCTGCCTTCATGAAATAGTACATCAATTTACCCCTAGTCATGATGTTTCCCTCATACTTAACAGAGAGAGGCCTGTTTACTCCATGCTGTTCATTAACTTGAGTTGCAGGTATACTGTAACTATACCTGCATTATTGTAGCAAAAGAATGGCAAGAATAACTTTCACACTAAAATAATTGTAAATGTTCTATAAAATGATAAATTCTATCCAATCAAAATATAGAAACATTCAGTTAATTATTAAGGTTATCCACAAATAATGGAGTTTGGAACTGGTTAAAGAAATCACTAGAAAGGTATGAATAGCACAGAGAAGGTCTGCCTAAAGTAGAAAGGACTGAAACAAGAGAGAGAGAAACAGACAAAAGAGAGGTTAAATTAGCAGTTTTGAGTTCTGCTTCTGATGCTTTAGTTATCTGAAGTCCTGCTACTAGATTCTCAACAAAAGTTTCACAACCACTTTTATTTCAATTTACTGTAATCATTCCAGGTACACCCATACACACTTGTCATATAGCACATCTGTAGTAAGTGTTACAAACCCAAAACAGTGAAATATTTTTACCACTTAGGTAGGTTAGGAAGCATAACTTAATATCTTGATAGGATGCATGGCTGCTCTCCCTGTCCCATTTCAGCAGTCGGATGGACAGAGCCCTTAGATCATAAAGAAACACAGCCCCTTCCTTCTAAAGAGAAATACTAAAAAGCCTCTAGTTATCTCTCTGAAGATGCAAATCATCCCTTCCCTGTAATACTCCTTGACAGAGGATTGGCCCCTAAGCCCTGCCTGCTCTGTCTATACCCTGTGGTCTTATGCCCACCCAGGGCCATTGCTAATAAACTGGAGCCAGATAGAACCTATTAAGAATTTGAATGACATGGAGTCTAAATCAGTGCTGAGTCCTGGCTTGAAAAGGAGATTATTTGGAGCTGGAAAAAACATTTTTATTTTTCTACCAAGGAAGCACTGCAGCAGAGAAAGCTGAATAGCAGTGAGAAGCAGGAAAGGAAAGTAAATATTACATATCACTTTTCCCAGAGCAACAAAGGATGTCTTTGACTTTCCAGGTCCCCATTTCCCTGTTGACACCCTGGTGCTCACTTTGATTCAGTAAGATATCTTTGTTACTTGGATAAGGAATGCTTAAGCCTAATTAAATGAGCTTCTATTTGTTCCAATCAAATGGTCCTTAGTGTTGGCAACCGCGACCTGATGCAAAAGTCGCAGCTCTGGGCGAAGGGAACTTGGCCTGATGGCCATGCTGCCTAAGACACAGTTTCCATCGAATTTGATTCAGTCACCTGTCCCTACCAGGAGAAAAGCACACAGTTCACTTCAACTGACACCCTTCCAGCAAGGCTTGATGAGCAGCACTTGTATGTGCCTTACTCTCCCTTGTAAAATTGCTGAATTTTCAACCTGGAAGGAAGCCTTAATGATTAAATCAATCAGAAAACTGAGAAGCAGAGAGGTTAATTTGTTTATCCTGGGCTTGGGAAATTCCTGGCTCAGATTTTTTTCACTTAGTCTCTCTCTATAGAACCAACCTATTGATAGAGGAGACTTTTAAGTTTTCTTCACTTGTAAAAAAAAAACATGAAAGGTTCTGCTACCTATAAAACCTAAGACTAATTTTATTTATCCACTTAAAATCATATTCATATGCATATAACAAAAAGCCAGTGATAACAATGGCTTAAACCTATGAAGATGTATTGCATTTCATCCCACATAAAAGCAGTTTGGAGGTCTGCACTCCAGGCTGAATGTGGTGTCTCCATGATTGTCAGACACCCACCTTCTGTCTCTGTTTCTGCTCTTCCATTCTTAGTGTTTGGCTTCCATCCTCAAGATCACCTCAGTGGTCCAATATGGTGTTTGGAGCTCCATCCATCAAATCTGCATTCCAGGAATCAGGGTGTAGGAAAGGGAAAAGAGCAAAGTAGCACATTCTCACTATCTGTCTCCTCCACCTAATAGCTTTTGCTTATAGCTTACTGATCATGGCTCAGTTAAATGGCCATTTTAGTACCAAGCGAAGCTGAGAAATGCATTATTTAAGCTGGGCATATTGCCACCCCAAATAAAATTGTAGATCTCTTATAAAGAAAGCAAGCATAAATGGGTATTGAGCAACCAAAAATCTATGTGTTAGCTTCCTGGAAATTTTGTCACCATTCTTCCTCAAAGGATACATTTAGTGGGTATCTCAGAATATTTCCATAATCAGCTGGTATCCTAAATTACAAAGGTCAGAGGAGTCTGTCCTGAGTCATCTCCTTTGCTATGTGAGCCCTCCGTTGTCTGAACTTCTGCCTAGTTCTGAGCCCCACCCACTTTGAGTTGACCCTTTTTATCCTCTCCTGTCAGGGATTTTGTTACAGTGCATATTGACACCA